GAAGAAAATTGACTGCAATTCCTCCTGATGTTGATGGTTATTCAGGAAGACTGATTCGCAGTGTTTCTGGTTCTGGGAAAACAATCTTGTATATTATTCCACTGCAGCAGGACTTCGATCTTACTCCATTGCCATCTGATGCCACTGAATTTCAAAAAACGCCCAAAGCTGCTTGCCAAGTGTGCAAAGAAAGAATGCCACTGCATATTCTTGCATTGCACATTAATAGTTGTACTGAGTCTCCATCAGCAACAGATGATGTTGAGGTGAATGACAGATTATATTGTGCTTTTACCTATTTGTACACAGAGTTTGGAGATTTAGTGTAACTTGAACCAAGTGCATTAGTTATTGTAACTTATACAAGAAGACCTATCATTGTGTATGAAACTAAAATGTCATAATAATAATTCCAAAATTCACTATGCAGACATGGAAATAAGTCTGTATTTTAATAATTCCATACCGCTTAATTTTGTTGCCATTGGCAAAATGCTGAACTACCAGATGGCATAATGTTTCAGATTTCAAATTCATCCTGGAAAAATCTGTTGTCTCAAAAATTTCCAGAGCGTCCCGATATTGACCCTGTTTCATCTATTGTGTCACATTGTATTATAAAAATGAATATTTGTTCTCCTATATATTTATGGATATAACTGTTGTGTGTTACTTTACAGGACTGGCAAAGTGAAGTCCACGTTCTTTCTGTCACAAACTCACCACATGCGCACTCTGACATAGAGTCCAGAGATCTTGAACCGGTAATCATGGTGAATTGAATTTATCAGCAGTTTTACAATTTTAAGAAACAACAGCTTGTGGTGTTTGTTTGAACACAATCTATTGTACTTTCTATCCTAACGTAACTATTCTGTTTACAGGGAAGCACAGAATGCCCTATTTGTTGTGGCTGCTTTCCAGCAGATGACATTGCCCTGCATGCAAGCCATTGTGGTGAAAGGTTTGTCTTTCCATAGTGTTGATCATATACACTACTCACAATAAGTTAGGGATATTGTGAGAGACTCAGTGGATTTCATACATACAGTCTTTGTTTC